TGCTGATGGATAATACCGCTCTGTCTATCTATCCCTTTTGCGAATATAGCCGTCAAGGTATGCAAAGACTTTGTTTCAAAATATACAGAAAGAGAACTGCCTTCTAGAACTGAGATCCAAAAAGGCAACCATTGTCATCCATACATTGAAAAAGTATTAATAGAGTTCCTCTTTCTTAATTGATATTAAAATAATATTTACTACAATGGACTTGGATAACGCTGACAGATGTTGTCAATATCATAATATCTTATATTTTTTGGCAGCAAAACAGACGCAAAAAATGTAATACTTTATTCGTGACAGCCTAAAATTGGTATTGTTCCGTTACCATAATAAAAGCAATAGGTAAAGAAAGTTTTGTGAATGAAAAATATTTGTAATAAGATACAAGACCTAGATTTATAATGCCACTACCACGGACTCTTCTTTTTACTGAGTCTTTTATAAGTTAAAAGTTACAGATTCAAAGTGAGAACACTGGTTTATTTTTTTAATATGTTTAAGCTGTCATGGATATCGAATTTGTGGGCGGTGTAGTCAATGTACATTATTTAAAATCATTTTTTTATATTATTTATTAAAAAAATAATTCTATAATTTTTCAAAACATTAGTTATTTGATGTACCTAGTAGTTAATCGTTCTTGATTTAATTTCTCTCTAATACAGAGACAGCGTTGCCAAATTCTGAAGTTTTAATTTGTTTTTACATTTAGGTAAGTATAAGTATATTCGGTTGATGAATAGAAAAAGTAATTTAAATTGCTTCCCTTATTCGTGAGATTTGTTTTACTTGATACATAAATGTGATTTAAAATAACTCTAACACTAATATTTAAGTTTCGCAAAAGAAGAAAAGTGCTATGAAAGATTATTTTTGTAAAAAATTAAAAACTACAGTACTTAGAAAAATCCAGTTTGTTTTTTAAAGCTTTCTATTCCAAGACATTAGAGTTATGGCATATTATCATTTGGATATACTTTTGATGATGTGAGCTTAAGTTAGTCGACGTGGCTATGGGTAAAAGACATATTCATAAAAGCTAAAATAATGAAACTTGAAAACGTACCTTTCCTATTTACAAAGAGCATTCTCCGTTAAACTAAGCTCAAACAGGTTACCTGTAACTACTTGTAAGTCTTGTAACATGAGTTAGTGACTTAGCAACAAATAAATAGCATTAGTAAAGGTAAAAGTTACAAGTAATTAACCGAGAGAAGTTGCTCATTGTAAGTCCATCAACAGTCAGCCGCAATAAGAGGGCTATAATTCCAGCTAGTTCCATCACAGCACGTTCCTCGGCGAACAAAAGCAATTTGTGTCCGCACGAAGTGGGCTTGTACGTGCGTAGCCTCGTAGGTGTTTATTAGCGCCCTCTAGCTATGTTAATATGTATGTGTACTTGGCAATCGTGTACGCGGTCTAGTCGCTGCCGTTTCACCCCGCGACCCTCTTTCCCCTGAGGTCACTCGATATCGTTTCACTGATCACGAATTCCCGACGCCGACACGTGGTCCCACGACCGCTCGTATATTTCTAGTGCAATTATACGGCAATTATTTAGCTCTTAAAAGCATTAAAACTTTCTAATATAACCGAGTTTTATTTTAGAACGTTTAACAACAAAACGATTTCCATAGTATTGTATATTCTTATTTCTTACAAAATGAAACTAACGCTGAAGCGGGTTGTAAAATTTCTTCATATACATAACAAAAAGAACTAAAGCATAAAGTTGTTACAGTTGTATACTGTATAAACCTTACATTACATTTTCATTATGCTGTTGAATGATCTAATAAGATCTGAATTGATGTATATTTAAGGCTAACTACCACTACTAACCTATGTTTTTTTAAGCTTTCGAAATATGATATATGTATATTTTAGCACGTACAGTATACACACTAGGCAAAGGATACATGTGTAATTGTGTACGCATACATTAGAAAATAGATCGGGAAATCCACAGACTTAAAATAAATAAACATAACATTGTAATTTGTTTTCATATTTACGTTAATATCGAGCTTCACCCGTGGGAGGCAGTTTTTAGTGTTATACTAGAGAAAACATCAAAACCATATTTCGATTAAGGCAGTTATGAATACTTGGATGGTTGGAAACTGAGTAACATTGGCGGAAATCCAAAGACATTTACAATTCTGATTTAGTGTACTGCATGAACAATTTAAACAGTACCTATCCAAAGTTTTGTGGTAGGCGAAGTAAGCTCTATTTTATTTAACAGAAAAAGTAAATAAATGACGTGTGTGCTTGACACCGGTACAAAGTAATAAATGAAAGAGAAGTGAATCACTTCGGGTCGAGTATAAATGTTTTCGTTAGAATGTTTATAGAAGTGTCCGGTACACAACTGGCGACGATCCAAAAACACGCTCATCAGAATCACGCAACACGCCGACATCATTTAACGACAAATTTATTATGTCACAGTAAGTAGTTAACACTATGCCTATTTACTATATAAACGAGCCTATATTACGTATTAAGGGCACAAGCAAATTCTAGTACACATCAAACAATGTGCTAAAATATGTAAAAGGCAAAGACAATGGAAAATAAGAGAATGAGTAATAACTAAGTATGGGAACAAGCAAATAATATGTGAGTATTTATAAACAGATTGCACATATCTCATATTGCACATAGTCATTTTTTTTCTTATTTTCAAAATTACGTAAATTTGTTAAATAAAATAATGAATGCCCTGGGTATTAATTAAGGCCGTCTTTGTAAAAGTTATGCTTAAGTTTTAAAGTAAAAAGTTAATTTTATGAGTTTTGATATGAATACATTGGATTCACAAATAAATAACTCGTTACGATAAAAATCATTTTCTGTTTGCTCGTATGCCCCTCTAACATAATAAAAAATTAGTCATAATTTTCTCATTAAAGTTTTAAGTATATAAAGGCCTTCTATTAGGTACCTTGTTCCCATCACTTCCATACTTTCAAAGTTATTTTTTATAGCCTTGCATATTTTATCAAATTTATACAAATAAAATCTACGTCAAAGTTTGGTTTGAACAAATTCACTTCAAAATATCTTTATCATCTAAATTTGCTTTATTTTGAAGGTCTGTATCTACAAGAGACAAGTATACATTAACTAAAATAGAACGCTTCAAAAACTGCTTCTATATTTTTATAACAAAATGAAAATATTTTTGCGAATACGAGTATAAGTACTGTATATTATATTATAGTTTAAGTACATATTGTGTGATATTTTGATAATCAAACATTATACGATATATTTAGAAACACGATACGGGCAACCAAGTGCTTTGTGTAGGGGACAGAAAGTGCTCTTTCTTGTATGAATAAAGCCAGAAAGTCACATTTACTTCTTGTAATAGGCAAAACTTTTGTGTGTGGCTGATAGGCCGTTATTTTAGTATACTATAGGGATCTTGTGTCACCTAGGGTGAATTGCCGTGCATTTAGGCGATTCTGCCATACATATTATAGAGATCAAATATAGCTTACTTAGGATCTATAATGTTTTGTGGCCGTGCTGCTTCCCGGTTTAAAAGGGTGTATGCCTATTTTACTTCATTTTGTCTCCCGCTTTGCTAAGGAGTGAAGTGGATTTATTGTATTTCCAACTCCTCCAATTTTCTGCTGATTAATTTCGTTGCTTGTTGCAAGAAAAAATACCGTTATTTTAAGCTATTTATTCTATTAAATCCTTCGAGTTAAATAATCATAACTAGTATCTTATCTGTAGAACGGGTATGTGATGCGAACCGTTCACTATCAATTTTAACGATCGACAATATAACCCTTATAAAACAAATTTGCCGAAAGAGCTTCGTCAGTTTTGATAAATATCCTTTCAACGCTTTTCCATTATTCGGGGGAGACAAATGTCCTGTTCGGTTTACTCGAGTCGGTATCACGGCATTCCCTCATTAAAATGTCCCCGAGCGGCTGCGGTCCCCTCGGTTGTGAACGATCCGATACGATAATCGATTTTATTGCCGATCGCTATAAAATCCCATCGTGTTTGTTTTAGTTCTGTCACACATTCCACATCGCGAATCAATCACTGCACTATTTAAACAGTGCGTTATTCATTGCTTGTGGTAAAGTGAATAACAGCTCTAATTTGTTAGCAGTACGAGCGAAAACCTCTAGAATCAATATACAATTATTGTGTAAAGCGGAACCAATCGGCTTTGAATGTATTGCTGCCATACGATTGAAATAGAATTTAGTTTATGTTGAAAAGGTTGTTGATCCTTTTTTTTTCTTGAACTCATACTACAATTGCTACATTACGTTTTTGTTCACTTTTGACTATTCCAACTCATGTAATTTAGTCAATTATTATTGTTAATAATTGACACGTTTTTATGCACGTTGAAAAAGTAACATTTTAATGATAGAATAAAATTCTGACCGGGACAAAGGCGATATATATTTTGTTTGTAATTATTTTATTTCACGTAATGTATTTTTACTATTGTACATATAGTTTCGGACACATAATGTAAAATAACAGGCGCGATATCAAACTTATGTTTTAGATACATTCAACACGATTAAGATGATCATAATACCTATGTTGTGTATAGCCTAAGAACCTACCTTTAGTTTGGTCTGTCCAGAAATAAAATGGACCTATGTACCTAACTTCATAGTGTATAATAAAGACAAATGTTAAATCATGTAAATCTAATCAGTAGGTACCTACTTGTCACGTTAGTTTAGTAACCACTAATGTGATGATAAGGTAATAAAATAAAGATGATTTTCAAGTCCTAAGTTCATTTTACCTAAAAATGTACTCTATAGTAAGTTTGTACGGTTAATCAGACAGAACACAAGTTGCTTAAATTTTTATATAACATATTCTTCGACGAAATCCCGCTAAAACAGCCGCCTATGTCGTTACGTGGTACCAATTTGCAAACAAGCTATTATAGGGGCCGCAGTCAAAAGCGCGCCAATAGAATTAAAATACTATTACGCCCGCCAATACAAAGTTGATTCAGAGGCGAGCGAGGCAAGGCTCAGGCGATCACGATTCGCCGCTGCTGTGCGCCGCGCCGCTCGCTTGCCCGATGCTCGTGCTCCTGTAATTTGATTTGGAGTGGTGCGGGGCGGAGGGACGACAGGATCGATACCGCGCGGGGGACGAGCCGGGGAGCGACACGGCACCGGCAGGGGGGTAACCACCAGGCGCGTGTTGTTATGGAAACCGTAGCTACCCTCGCGCATCCAGATTTCGTGTACCGGTAAATTAAACAAAGGAGATAACTGATATTTTTTTCAGGCACTCCTGGTATAACAAAGAATCAAATTTGTGTTAAAATAATTTTATAATTGTTAGGTAATGTAATTAATGTATTATTTTATAAATTTATAAGTATTTCTTTACATTACATATAAAATAAAAATTGTGTGGCCTGGCTAGTATCTTATATGGTATTTAGTACGTTCTTCTACGTACGGTGCGTAGTCTCATTAAAAGCTCGTAATGGACACTAGTACTTTTTAAAAGTCTATCCTAATAGCCTCCTAATAGGTACGAGTGGGTGGTTAAAGTAGATATTTATGTTAAACATGTAAAAAAGCAAGTAATTATGAGCGCTTGAAGCGTGACGGTCGTTTATGTTACGCAACTGCAAATAAATAAGCCACGCTGACATACATATAAGTATTTACGGTTAGTTTGTAAAGAGTCAGTATTCTATCGACCGATCGACTAGTTAAAAGTAGTGATAAAATAATGTTTATTTTTATAAGTCGATATCACATTCAATAGAGGATCCTCTCATTAACGGTCAGTTTACGATAGCTGCGAATCAGAGAGCAGGTCATAATTGTTTTTAAACAATCAGAGAAGTTTCGAACGTAATAATGTAATTAAAAGCTTTCTCTATTAGTTATTACGTAAATTGTAACAGGGTGTTTTTTAATAACCACATGTTTCTATCTGATACCATTGTGCTAGAATTAGAACGTTTATTATAGGGCTTGTCTTTTGATCCACCTTGGTAACAACATGATCATGGGACTATTTTTGTAGTAAAGACCTTGATCATTATTGATAATAAAGTCTTATTCTTGAAGTTACCGCATGTCTAGTACAAAACTACATTAGTAGCCTACTACAAAGTGAGGAAAACCAAATAAAAACATTATTAGCAACGAAGAATGTCTTTTAGAGTTGGCGATTTAAATAAAGAACTGATATCATTAAATTAGAAATTGAAACATGCCACGTGAAATTGTGAACAAGTTTGAAATGATTAATTTTTATTAAAGATCACCAATAAAATTTATAAAACCGGTCAGATATATAGTATTTTATGTTTTAACCAAATTACCAGTATTTAAATGGGTCTATTATATTTTATATCGTATAAATTACGCCGGTAGATGTTTCACAATACCATTAAAGACGATCATTTAGATCTCCTAGACTAGGAGATAAGCGAACATGAAAGGGCCGGGTGATGATGGTAATACAGTGCATTTAACCTGGCCCGCGGCACCTTGCGGCGAGTCGAACAAACTGGTTCCATCGCCGACCTTCATGTCGTATCGCTCTGTGCGCCTATGCTGCCCTGGTCGATCCGATCGCTATGCTCGATTGATTTTGATTCGATTTTATTAGTTCGATTGGAAACTTTTTATGAACCGGCTATATAGTAGAAATAAGAAAAACAAGTAGAACATTATTAATGTTCTCAGTAATATGATTTATGTCAAAGGCAACTTTACGGTTAAAAACGTTAAAATATATTTTGTATTACGTACCTACGTAGAAAATAGTCGGTAATTTGGCCGATTACAAAAAATACGAGTATATGCTTTTTAGAGTAAGCCATTATCAATTAGTTTTAACATTACTAACACTTTTTCATTTTAATTTTAAATCGTGACAAATGTTTCATTAACATTAAATTTATTAAAACGACTTTATTTCCAGTGCAGTAAAATAATTAAGTAGGTTTGACCTATGTAGGTATATTGTATATATCAGTTTGGCCTTTGAACACATTTAAAATCAACTAAGTAAAAAAGAATACTACAATTCATCACTTCGCTTCGGTATTAAATGGAATTTACGGAAACTGTCACGCAACAACTTTGTTGGTGTTTAGTTCAAGAAAGTATTTTATTTCGTAAAGAAATCTAAAGTTTCGTTCCCGTTAAAATAGTTTAGTTTTAGTGTGAGGCACTAAGTTATTATTGTACTTCGATGGAGTGAAGGACAGTTCGGCGAGAGTTAAATTTAACTGAATTGACAATCAATTTGTAAACGCGATAAGCTTATAGGGTTATCGGGGGTATACGATATTCTGTTAACCACACTGCTGTTTAATCTATATGTATAACTATTAAATACTTTGAAGTGGGAAATAAATAATTATATTATTACATATCAAGACTACATTATAATGTTTGTTATTTACGTTATTTTAAGGGTTAGTTTGGAGTTGTTTGTATCATTACATGACCAATTCTAACATCATGTATTATCCAAATACATGATATAGATGGTTTATGGGGGATAAATTCCTTACCCGATGCTTACCCTGCAGTGTTTGTAGGTCTCATCTGAAAAAAAATGCCTTGAATGACATTCTGCGAAAGTGACGTTTTGCGAAAGTGAGCAAATTTTTCACGATGATATTTTGCGAAAGTGTAGTAAGTATTCTTGGACTGCCGCGGTGTAACTAATTACACTTTTAACCTTATTATAAACATGTAGCAGCATCCCCATAAAAGTCATTACAAGTTGCTGTGACTAAAAGGTGAGCAATATATTTTCCCATAATTGTACATTGATAATTTGTGAGTACTCATCACACGACCCTGTGATTAAATTCATCTACGCCGGTGATCATTAAACTTTCGAAAATGGAAATGGCATGGCATTTCATGGCATGCTAATGAAAGAGACGTCCCTCTCCTGTTGGCCGGATTACCCACCCGTAAATCGCGACAGTGTAATCGCGTGAACACTATAATTGGCGTTAATCAAGCGATTTGGTGTGTTCCGTTGCTTCGGTACTATCCTATATTAAACCAATTGCCGAGTTAATGACAATGGTTATTATAGTTTATTTTATTTCATTCCGAAACTCGACCTTATAATACTATGTATGTATAAATATATTTTAAAGTTAAAATCATAGTTGATTGCGTGTCTTGTATTGCACGGATATAAAGTTAAATTATGAGATAAACAAAAAATATTCGCCCTAAATATGGAGCCTTATCGTCAGCGGTTTATTAGCGGCAAATTTTGAGCCCAGGTTTTTGCATGCCAACTTCACTTGAAGCTAGCATGCAAACATTATTGGCTAGTGGCTAATTCTTCGTTTTCACGGTTAATTTGCGGCTAATTATTCAATACCCTATTTGTTTGTCTGCCAAATTTGCCATGCCAACTTCAAAGAGGTGAATTATAGTTCTAACATTCTTATTCTCTTTATAGTTACAAAGAATAAGAAACCCAATATTTGTTTTGTATATTTTTGTTTTAAAGTACAAAGTGTCATGGTGATGAAACTTCACGAAAATGTAAGAATTCTCGTGAAGCCGGGGTCGTTGCGTCAAACAGCGCGCGGTAATGTCGCTGAGAAATTTCTCTTGGGAAATGGGAAAACAAATGAGAGAGCTCTTATCTACGCATTACCGCCGCGTTCAGTGATTTACGATCCGGCTACCAACTCCACACATGCGCGACTTACTCCGCCTTAAAGTTATACCGGTTTTGCACAGCGAAAAGACATAACCTGGTTGAGAAACAGACGTGAATTGAGTGTTAAACATGCCAGTTGAGACGTTGCATTACATAAACAAGATCGTTGGTGATCGGCTGTGATGCGGGATGACGCACCACAGCAATTGTAATAAACACAGATTAAGTGCCGCCTCTGAGGTAGATAGTAATGTGTTAGAAATCATTTATATCTGTCCTAAGCCTGAACAGTTTAATCAATTTGCTGGAATTTAATGTACAAATAAATACATTGGTTATACGTTAAAAGTAAAGTGAAATAAACACGATGTTCATCTATTGCAATTATAAGAGGAATATATAAAACAATTGAACCTCTATGGAAGCTCTAGTGGGCATTAAGCCCACAATGACTTCGTGAATGACGTAGTAGGTATTAGTATGACTAGCAGAGACAGGTGTGTCCCTTCCGGGAACCTCCATTATAGGTAGTTTCCGCAGGTAAAGTTACACGAAATCAAACACGGCACAAGTGATTCAGAACAAAGGAATCGGCGAATATTAGATTAAATAAAGCAAGAGAATCTGATTGATATCTGCAATAATAAAGAGTTATAAATTAAACTCGGAAATGATAAACATGTTGCATTTGCTTTACTTCTATTAAATTGCTTTGGTAATAAAACTAATCACCTAATAAAGTTGCTGCCACAGACGTCTCATTGAAAATTTGAAATTAGCCGTGGGCTGTAATCAAATAGAGCCCCATTACATTAGCATAGCGTTTAGTAGGAGAACAATTCTTACAGCGGGCAGTGAGTGCAGCGCGCCGCGGGCAGACAGCAAATTGCCCGTGGGCGGCGCGCCGTGATCCCGTGACCCTTACGATAAATTCTATCTATCATTTTAAGATAATTTTCGTTTCACCACGTAAAAGAATAACATTACAAAAGAAGTAACCTCAATTATTTCGTGTAGGTAACATGCAAAGTAAATAAAATAAATATTACGAGTCTTGGAATTAAAATTAGTCCATCTGGAAAACAGAAGGATATGAAAAATCCAACAAAAGGAACAAAAACAAGAAAAAATACGAAAATCGCATCGGACGAGAGATGAAAGAAGTTTTTATATAAAAGAAATAAGACGACGCAGAGTGCTCGGCGCGCCGGTTTGTATATTGTGCTCCGAGTACCAGGCTCGCATACCGCGAGCGGAGTGTTCAATTAAACCGCGCACAGATCTAATCAAGTGTGATTTTAATAGAGTGCGGGCTGATCGAGCAAGCAGCTCACGTGGGACCGACCGCCAAGATTGACAACAGAATAGATAACGGTTTAGTTAACAATTTATTAAATTAATACCTACACAGACCACTCGATATTATCGTATCTTGTCTAACTAAACAGTTGCGACAGGTAGTTAGTAGTAGTAGTACCGAACTCTTAATTATTTTATAGGAAATAATAACATAATTGGCTTTATTACGTCAGTTTATTTACCAGTATAAGCTTAAGTTAGA